TGTCTTCTCTCTCCCGGTTGCCACCCGCTCCCAGCGGGACTGCCCGGCCGGCTCACGGCCACCAGTGCCAACTCCCCGTCCCACTGGAATCCCGTTTTCTCCCCGGAACGCTGCTGTACCGTAGCACCGGATGATGGCTCGGGGCTGCCAAGCAGTTGGACTTCCCTTTAGGACTTGCTGCTAAAGCGGGTGCCGGTTTTTATTCCAGACTTGGGTTTTTCTTGTTAAAAGATGACCTTAGGCTCACCGGGAACCCCAAAAAATGTGGATAAGTTGCTGCTGCTGCTCTGGGTGAAGCCCAGGCAGCGGCTCTGGGCTGAACCCGCCTGTTCGTTCCCCTCTCGGTACCCCCGGGGCCGCAGCTGGAGGAATGGCCCCAACCCCAGGGGTCTGCAGGGATGGGGAGAAAGGGGCCACCAGCCCGGCTCCGTACTGGCCACCAGCCCTTCTCTCCTGGAGCACCGAGGCATCTCGGGGTGCGCGTGTGTGTGTGTGTTTCCCTGCAAAGCACTTTAGGGTCCCCCCAGACCAGGCGTCCTCGCCGGGGACCACACCTGGGAACAGTGCCAGACCAGGGCTTCGTTAGCCCCGCTCGCCTCGTTAAGACGTCCTGAAAGGAGCCCGCGGCTAGCACCGGTGAACGTCCTGGATCACAACGTGTCTGTGCCCTGGTTCGTGTTAACCTCCTCACTGCGCGGACCCGAGCGCCACAGGATTTATCCCGTAGGATTTACCCTGCAGGCTCCTCCGGGAACACGCTGGGGCGACAGGTGATACCTGCGCCATTTATTTTGGTTTTCTTTAGTATTTTTTGGGAACTACAAGTGCTGATGGGGCCAAATCCCCATGCCCTGGGGAAGAGCTCGCTGCTCGTGCTGGGCTCAGAACGGCTTTTAAATGAAAATAAAACCAGGATTTTCTAGCACGCCCCTGTCTGCTGCCAGCATCCTTGCGGCGGTGCAGGGCTGCGAGCCCCGAAATGAGGCACCCCAGAATCTGGACTGTCCCGGTGCCCCTTCGCTGGCCGCGTCCTCAGGACGTGGATTACATGGGGACAGCCCCGTCCTCGCGTGGGCTTGGGGATGGGTGGCATCACCTTGTTCTCCCTTTGGGACAGCGCTGGTGGACCTGGGGCTGTGTGGCCCCCAATGTCACACCCCGAAGGGCAGGACAGGAGGGATGCTGCG